TATCTATCTATCTATCTATCTATCTATCTATCTATCTATCTATCTATCTATCTATCTATCTATCTATCTATCTATCTATCTATCTACATTTATGTAAGTAAGAATATCAAAATATCTATCACAAATTGTTTGTATTTCCATTCCAATTATTTTCAGTTTGGAATTATTGACTAGTCCATTTAGAATTTAAAACAAAATGTATCATGTCAAAATATTGCTTATATTTGCTGCATATATATTTTTATGTAAGAATATCTATCTATCTATATATATATATATATATATATATATATATATATATATATATCCAAAAATATATAGATTTTTTTTGGAAGTATTGATCCATGTATCCTAAAATATATAATAAGAGTTTCGAAATTTTTTACTCTTTCAGACATTTATAATATTACATTTCTTATAAGATAAGACAAAACTGACATATGTGGACATCATTTGGAAATGCCCCCCTATTCTTTAACAATCTTTAAATGTATCTTAAAAATGTAAAATGTTTAACTTTAATATTGTTAGGCATTCTCAAAATGGGAACATTGGTAAAACGTAGCATCCAGTTAGTATTAAAAGATCACATGTTTTTACTGTACCAAAGACAATTGCAAAACTGAACTGAGAAATAATGTAGTGCATTTCTGGTAATAGGCTTTTATTTTGACACCTGTTAACGCCTCATCAAGCTTTCATCTCAAATTATAAGTGCTTCTTTAGGTATATTTTCATTAGTACTGCAGGCTAAAGAAAAACCTTTAGTTCTCTATTATTGGGGTTCAAATTCACCAAAGTTGACTAAATTTGCTTGAGTTATTCTTTATTCGGTCTGACTGCTGCTTCAAGCCATCTCCAGGAAAAATCTGAATATCCCATAATTTCAGGGGAGGTAACACAAATCACTCAACACCTGTTTGTCGGGTTGCCAGTTATTAACTTCATCAAGGGCTATTCAGCATCTGTGTGCCGTCATAATTAGTTTAACTTTCCCAAGGCCTGTCAATGGTAAATGAGAGTCATTATGCCAGAATGCCCCTCTTCAAGGCTTGGCGTCTGCCTGCCTCAGCCCCTCTCTGTGCCTGTCTCGGTCCCTTTCACTGCCTCCTAGGTGGAGCTCACAGCTTGGCTGAATGCGACTCATTTTCAACTCTTCATGTGCAAATGTCTCTCCGGCTCTGCAAGAATGGTCTATGCATTCTAATTTGAGTCATTGCCTCATAAATTTTCTTCCTCAAAAGTGTTTGCCGTTTATTTGCCAAGGAGAACCTATTTTTAGGAGGATCTTTCTGGATTTTTATCGCTACTTTAGTTTGATTGTTATTTCAAAAGCATGGAAAAGAAGCCCTGATGTGCTTATTAGGCTCTACCTTAAATCTTTACAGAGGCAACAATATAAATGCAAACTATAATGCTATAAAAACCTGATATTTTTTTCTTATAATCCTGGCTAATACATCGAAATCGCTTCTTCAGTCTGAATCAGAATTTTAGTTCCTGCAGTCTATCTAGGAAAAAGTAAAATCTTTTAAATGTCTTAATTTCTTTAAGAAAAAATGTTAAGCTAGAAACATCAAAGATTACATCATTCTTTTATCTTTTGGCATTCACCATGTTTTACAGAGGGACATTTATTTTTAGAAAAGGCAAGTTTTCGTTTGTTTTATGTAAATAAGACACTATTTTTACTGCCACCCTAAAAAAACGGAAGCGTTTATAAATAGTAAACCCTTCAGAGGGAGGACAGTGAGAGGCTCTTTTCCTGATAGCTTTTCCCATCCAGTTTGTTTAATCAGTCTGACAGTTTTGATAGAGCCGGAATGGGTTTCTGCATCTAGATAATTATGTGAGAACTTCCTCCAACAGCTTGTTTTTGTCTCAACACAATCATCTCTTCAGAGATTTAATGGAACAGGTTCACAATGAAATTGTCAGCCTGCTCAGCAAAGGGGAATAATTTCCTCAGGGTAGGAAAGGGCCACTTTTATAGATGCTCCACGGCTAAAGTCTCCGTCTAATTAATGTAGAGGATTGAGGTAGAAACCATCACTGACTCAAAATCTGTGTCCTGTTATATTAAGGTTGCTACTTCATTTAATTTATTTCCAGTCAAGAGTCACCCTCTCGCGACACTTGAAAGTAAGACACATCTACCTCTTAGTCAAGTCACTACATCGCAGGCTACCTTTGTACCTGTGCTGCCTTTGGCCATGGGCCATATCGATCTGAACAGTCGGTAAGAAAAAGAAATAAAAAATAAAAAAATAAAAAATAAAGAAGTCAGCTGCAATAGCCTCCCCCGGGCCGAGGCTCCTTTCTTCACCTTTTACGCTCCGCCTGGCCGTGTATATACCTCCCTAATCGGGAGTGGCGGATTTTGCAGCTGCAGTGAGGATGACTCTCTGAAACGATTAGGCCTGGGGACAGCTCCGGCTCTCTTCCCCGTCTTCTCCATGCCAGATCCCATCTAGAAAGCATTTCATCT